ATATAATCCTTCAAAATTAAAATGTAAATACACATTTATATCTAAATAATTGATGTAATTGATTTAATGGCACAATAATTTATTTGTCAAACTTCTTTTTGACCCTATAATTTATTTTAATACGCCAGTTATATATTTATACATTTATTTCCAATAATGATAGGTTTGGTCCTCCATATGACTCTTCATAAATTAGAACAAAATCAAACAGAACATTTACATCTGGTATTCTTGTTTATCTCCTTTAAAGGCAAAGTATGGAAGCCCATCTTTGCTAGTTGACAGAAAAATATCACGACATGTCATAAATATGAATTTTGAAGTCTTACCTATAGCATTAAAAATGGTAATTGCTGAATTATTGAGTTGTAATTTTGAGATGCTAAATCAATTGTACGAGTTTAGATGATCATTATAGTGTTAATATCATCATGACTTTCAGTCTCACAATACTGACTTTAAAATACACCATTTACACAACTAACATAACATTTTCTATTTGTTCAGATAGTGAAAGGGGATTTTAAATAAAATTAACATCATCTTAGTAAATAAAAACAGACTCTGAAAGCAAAGTGGGTGAGAAACATTTAATTCCTTTATATAAAAAGGGGAAAAAATTAAGCATATATTTAAACTTAAAAATGATAATCATGAGATAAAATGACAAACCAGACTTTTTTGTCATAATTATTAGTTTGTAAGTCATAATTCTGGTTTTAAAACTTATCATAACCTATTATGTTATATTTTTTGTTCAAATGGCCTAGCTGAGACCCCTCCCTACTCTGCTACTTCTCACCTTTGCCAAAAATGCATGCAACCTTCATCTCTTTATCAAAATAATGATAAAAATAAAATAAATAATTATAAACTTTTATTTGGAAAGGGAAAAATTAAGTTGATTGATCATTGAAATGGGCTTATTTGTGCGATTTTTATATACAAATTTTAAATTTATATTTTCACAACCTCTGAGCAGACAAGGTTATTTGCCCCTCTCTGGTGCCCCAATCAGGATATAGGAACCACTGGTATATAGAGATGTGCTTTAGAGTGGTATTTAATTGTGAAATGGAGGTCAAGTTTCTGATTTACTTTATTATGGGTCATAAATACAAGTTTTAAAGTCATAATTATAAAAAAAATGAATCACATCTGAATTTAGATAAAATTGTTTATCACAATCCATCCATCCATCCATCCATCCATCCATCCATCCATCCATCCATCCATCCATCCATCCATCCATTTTCTGTACACGCTTCTTCCTTTTCAGGGTCGCGTGGGTCACTGGTGCCCATATCCAGCAGTCACAGTGCGAGGGGCGGGGTACACCCTGGACAGGTCGCAAGTCCATCACAGATTTATCACAATCATGGCTTTAAAAATCTTTCATATGCCCTGTATGTGATGATTTATTTATATAAAATATTTTGTTCAAGTGGCAAAGTTAGATCTTCCATACCACAGTCACATCATCTCAGTGAATTTATTAATTAAGGGTCGAAGACTGGGTAGTCTTTCATTTTGACAGTTCCTCATTAACGTAATTATTAAATAAAAAATAAAATGAGTTTTAAAGTTTTTAAATATGATCTACCATGTCACAAATTTGTTTTGATTATTTTCTTTTTTATTTGTAGTGGCAGCAACGGACTTCCATACAGCGTCACTTTATCGTGGTAGTAAATTAAGGGTGGAGGGGTGGGGTTTGGGGTGGGGTTTCCTTGTGAAGTGGGTGGGATAGTTTCTTATTTCTTCACAACAACAAAAATAATCTATAAAATGAAAAAAAAAAAAAAAAAAAACGTTGCGTAGCTATTTTACGCACAGGGGCGGATCTTTCATTCACTCGCGCTGTGTGGGTGTGGGAGAAGGAAGGGGGCTCAGCCAGTCAGAAACAATCAAAGATGTTTGAGTTTCCATGCGCAGTGACCAGGCAGCACACACACACACACACACACACACACACACACACACACACACACACACACACACACACGCACACGCGCGCACACGCACGCACGCACACACACAGCATTATCACCCCTCCTCCTCCTGCTGCAGCTCGGATCTCTCCGGCCTCCACACACCGCAGGGGTTGGTAAAAATCACTCTCGATCAAAAGAAGAAAAAAACATCTGCGAAGAGAAAACTGCTGGTGCGATGTGAGTTGTTTCTGCAGGGGGAAACGAGAGGAGAAAAACAAAACTAAAAAAAAAAGAAGAAGAAGACCTGTTGAAGAGAATGAATTACGCCAAAGCGCAAATGGTGAGTGTTGAAGCGACTCTTTTTTTCTTCTTTTCTGGCTCCCACTCGTGTTTGTTACAGTAACAAAGCAACTGACCATAAATGTAGTTTTACTATTGTGTTAGGACTGACGAGAAAAACACGTTGTTGTTGGTGAAAGCTTAAAAAAAAGCTGCTTTTTGGAGAAAGTTAATTTTGATGCGTAAAATCTGAGTCAGCTTGTGAAAAAGTTACAGAAAATATATTTTATAATTAGTTTTTTAAACAAACAGAAACACAAAGTATCTGTAGAAATTAGACAGTTTTATATTAGGCTCATTAAATCTTTTTAAACCCACCTAATTGGGTCAAAGTTAACTTTAACAAATCCATATTTATTTAGGAAAATTATTAGGTTTTCATTTTTAGTTTGAATGAGTTGTTTAAAACTGCAGCACCATATGAAAAACATTAAAGTCGAGTGAGTATTAATTTTCGCTTTGATGGTTTATTCATTTATTTTGTCCATAGTCGAGCTTTTCTGAGGAGGGGACTTTGGCTGGCTGTCCACAGCCCAGTCCTGCAGGGGTGAAGCTGGAGGCGGTGATGGATCAGCTGAAGAGGGAACAGGAGGAGAAACATCTCCTCCAAGCCCAGCTCCTGTTCACCCAGCAGGCAGCGGCGGTGGCGGCGGCGGCCAGGGCGTCCGGCTCCAGGGCGGACGGAGTGATTTTTCAAGCCGCACAGCAACACCTGAGCAGAATGGACCTGAAAGTGGAGGACTCGGATCAGGGGGTGGAAGAGATGCTGGAGCCTGAGGAGGGAGGTGATGATGTTGATGACGATGAGGAGGAGGGAGACGAGCATGGGCCTCCTTTTCAAGCAAAGAAGCTGGACGTCCAACAGGTTTCCCGCTTTCAGCCCTTTGGTACGTCTCTGCCAGCCTGTGAGCCCGAGTCTCCACAGATGAAGCAGGAGGAGAAGAGCCTGTCCTCTCCTGCAGGTCCGACCACCTTCACGTCACCTAACGGCTTTGCTGACTGGAGCTACGATGAGCTCTTCAGACAGGTACGCTCAGCTTCTGCATGACTCTGTGTGAACTTTAAAACGTGCAGCTGGCTGCATTATCTACCTGTTTCTTATCATGTCAAGGCCTCACCTTCACAGAGAGAAAACAAACATCTGCGACTTGCCTCCCCCCCCCCCCCCCAGTCTGTGTGTGTTGTTGTCTCTCTTATTATTAATTATTGACTTCCTCTTGTTGAGAGTCAGGCTGACTGCTGCCCAGTCAGCCGCCTGCTTTCTCACCTAAAGAGGAAGGAGCGTGTCCCATTTGGCAGGACGCCTGAACTTGGCTCGTATTTATTTACCAGCCGGGCCTGAGATCCTCATTATGCACCTCTAGTCTCTGGCTTTTTGCAAAACAAATGATTTCTCCTCAAGCTGGGCTAATTGTCCCTGGCTGTGGTCCAGTCCTAACTGTGCAGAGAAGCCTCTGGAGGTCAGCGGAGATGGAGTTGAAATGAGAGCGGAGGATTATTGGACTAGCCTCAGGTGTGTATTTATGGACTCTTCTTTCTGAAGCTCGGCCCGATCGGCCCTCCTGTGTGCAGTGGTGGACAGTAGTGGAGTACATTTACTCGAGTACTGTAATTAAGTACATTTTTTGAGTATACTTTAGTAATTATTTTTTGGGGTACTTATTACTTTCACTCCATTTCAAAAGCAAATATTATACTTTTTACTCCACAACATTTCTAGGAAGCTTTTAGTTACTTGTTACTTTTGGTTCAGCACAGCTTTGTAATCGGCTCTTGCTGTTTTTCTTTCTTGAAATGCAATTGGCCACACTATGTTCCTCATGGTGAACCAATCACAGTTGTAGCTCACATCTAGGATAGATTTGGAATTACATCATCTTCATTAACGGTGGGGAGCTGATCTCCCGCCTACATTAAAAAAAAGGTAAATAGACTGAACTTATAGAGTGATTTATTTATACGGACCCCACAGCGCCTTTACACTTACAGACATTCACACATTCACACACTGATGGTGGTAAGCTACACTGTAGCCACAGCTGCCCTGGAGCACACTGACAGAAGTGAGGCTGCCATGCACCGGCACCACTGGACCCTCTGACCACCATCAATAGGCAAGGCAGGTGAAGTGTCTTGCCCAAGGACACAACGACAGAACCCAGCAATGGAGATGATTGAAGATAATAGAGAAACCAGCACACACGTGGTCATAGAGACACTGAAAAATAGTTCATATCAATTTAAATGTCTTATGAGTTCACTACGGATAAACTACATTTGTGCATTTAAGAACTCACCACTCACTTTATTGCATTTTTATGCTGAAGTCTTTACAGGTGGTGTAGAATTTGTAGAAGAGTGATTCTACAAACCCTATCAAAAATGGTGGAATCACCTTTTTCTTCATTTCTTTTAGTGAAAGCCAGAAAGTTGCCATTTGAAATGACTTTAGTGTTGTGTCATGTCTGTGATCTTCTTTTTTCTACAAAATAAAACAACTGAATGACCATCCTCTCAGTCCGGTGATTCCATCATTTTTGCCAGGAATGTGTCAATACATCAGGTGGTTTCTGAGAGCTGCAAGGTTCTGTAAACTCACTCTGAAAACTACAGAGATGTGTTGATAGTAGAAAATATAATTTGTACTTTTGAACACTTGAGCAATTTTAAATGCATGTACTTTTGAATACTTAAGTATTTTCAAAAGTAAGTACTTCAGTACTTTAACTTTAGTAGATTTTTGATGGAGCAACTTTTACTTGTAGTTGAGTCGATTTGACCCTGAGCATCAATACTTTTACTCAAATACTAGAGTTGATTACTTTGTCCACCACTGTGTGTGTGTATGGCCTCCTTGAAAAGGCCCCATGTCAAAATAATACATTATGATTAATGAGGGCTGTGGGTGGAGGGACAGCTGGGCTAGTGCCTCACAGCGTGAAAACAGCCACTCACGTTCTCCTGCATTACTTTTATTAGAGCAGAAGGAGCTTTTTGTTTGATTAATGGGGGGTTTCATGCACATCATGTTGATTATTACTGTCTTATTTTCTTATTTTTACTGGTTTTTTTTTTTTTGGCAAACTGCAAATGCTATTCCGATGGAAACATTTAATCCCCTAATTTAAACGATTATTTCAAATGTTAGCTGTTAATCAGCGTTGTGACAAAGATCACCCCATCCTGTTACTGTTAGTGGACCGCTTTGCGTGGTTCAGTCGTTGCTTAGCAACACTAAATAGCGCCTTATTTCCCCTGCATTAAATCAATGCAATAAAAGGCTGTGACAAAGAGCGTGTGTGTTCGCTTTTTACACACCAGCTGCCCAAACCTGGAATATTAATGTTTTTCTTTAATCAAAGCACTAATTCAGATCCTTTGAAGTGGGGTTCTGCGAAAAGTTTATGAATAGTTAATATATTACCTGTTGTAGATAAGCTGTTTGTGTGATTTTGGTCTGATGCAGATTGATGAACTAACAGGTGGTTAGCCAGAGCTGGGTCAAGACCAAATTGGATTGCTGCTGTCTTCAAATAATTTTAATGTAAAAAAAAATTGGAACAATTTATGCTCGTTACTTCACTTTCAGTTTCACAAAAGAAAAAAATATATATCTCTGATAGTAATCAATGGCTGTACTATTGATTGTTTGTAGTCAGTCCAATTTAAGAAGGCCACCACAGCTGTTTGATTCTGGCGAACACAAGAATGGCTTTCTGTCAATCAGTTTTACAGATATTAAGCAAAAGTCTGGCCTGTTAGCAGCTAAGAGTCACTTAAAACACTGAGAGCAAAAATATACGTTTTTGTTTCTAATTCTAATTGTCGGGGTCAATCTTGTCAGTTTGTTAGCAAAATATCTCTTGACTCACTGGATTTTTTTGTATCTGCAACTGATTACCTTTTGGAGTCAAATTGATTTAAGATGACCCCCTACAGTTAATTGACCTTAGCAAACACAAAATATCTATAACTCAGTGATTTTTACAGATTGTGTACTAAGATTTGGTGTGGTAGTAGCTGAGACTGTTCCCAACTTAAACCCTCTGGAAACTTTGAAATGAAAGCTGGTAGGAGGTGTGCATTCCTTGAAGGAATGCTAGTTTCATTAAAGGAGATAAATAGGGAAGTTAAGTGGTGATATCCTTGTATTTTAATGCTTTTAATCAAATACAAACTCCTGCAGCGTAGCTTTGCAGCAAATTGCATTAAGTCAAATATTTAATAATCCCATTCTTAAAAAGTTGTCTGTTTAACAACAAAGAGATTCTTTTTCCTGACCCACATCCTGAATACTATCAGGGTTTCCCAGGCGAGCTTGTGTGAAAGCTCTGTGAGCAATTAACTGAAGGCTCTTTGTTAATAGATCTGCAGTAGGTCCCACTTCCTCATCAATAAGAGGGGGAAGGGTTTTATTTCGATTTGATGGTGAAAAGTCTGGCATGTTTATCTACCTTCAGTGGGGTTTTTTTTCTGGAAGGATGGGGGTTCTTTTATTAGACATTCTAAGTTAAGGCCTTTAGCAGTGTCAACATCTCTCTCTCTCTCTCTCTCTCTCTCTCTCTCTGTGTGTGTGTGTGGTGGATACAGTGGACTGTTTAAACAGTTTAACCCCTGAAGACTGAGAATAAGTGGGTGTGTGTGTCTGTGTGGGTGCGTGCAAAAAGTTAGACATTTGTGGGAAAGTCGTAGACTTAAGTGAGGCATACAAGCTTGGAAAGATGCCTAAAATAATTAGCTTCAGGTAACCTATAAATAAAAACACTTGACTAAATGATTACTTGGTGGAAATGATTAATAGAAATGTGAAACGCCTAATGCCATAGATGACCAAACTAGAAGTAATGATTGAATTCATGGAAAATATCTAACCTGGATCACATTAAATGCTGGAATTTAAAGGGACTTGGTGCATATTTCTGGAAACTTTTCAAAGAGTAGAAAATGTTCCGCAATAAGCTGCAGTGTTTGAATGCTGAACTCGGTCTTTATGGTGCTCCACCACTATGCTTGATCCCCGAAATTTATTTATTTTGTGTAATTTACCTTTTTTCTTTTCCCCAGTACAGTACCTATGTTCCTTAGTACTCGTTTCCCAGTACCGGTACCTATGTTTCTTGGTTCCTACGTTCCCTGGTACCTATAGTATGTTCTCTATGTACCCAGAGCCATCAGGATACGATGAGCAAGCTGGGCATTTGGGCCCCCAACGGTCGACCAACATCGTTGCATTGAAATAACTGGGGTCCTAATCATGCTGCCCCCTAAAGGGGCCCCGTGCGGACCGGCCACGCATTGGCTGTGACTATGACTCAGTCACAGGCTCAGCCAATGACCGCAGCCGCCAGTCTGCAACTTTCCTCACCTCAGTCTGTTGAGGAAAGTTCCATCCTGTCTGCGACATGATGAAATGTGTGCTTGCATGCTGCCTGCTCTGCCATTGTAAAGTTTTGTAAAGTTCAGCAGTGATATGTGCGCATGAAGCGCACATACCCTTCAGTTTTTTCAAAAAGACAATGGAAGAAAGAAATTAAAAAATGAAAACAAGACAGTGATAAGTCAATGGACATTAAAAAATTAACTTAACTAATGTACCTATGTTCCCCGGCACTTACACTATGTTCCCTGGTACCTACATTATGTTCCCTATGTACCTACGTTCCCTGGTACCTACAGTATGTTCCCTATGTACCTACGTTCCTTGGTACCTACAGTATGTTCCCTATGTACCTACAGTACGTTCCCTGGTACCTACAGTATGTTCCCTATGTACCTACGTTCCCTGGTACCTACAGTATGTTCCCTATGTTCCCTGGTACCAACAGTATGTTCTCTATGTACCCATGTTCCCTGGTACCTACACTATGTTCCCTATGTACTTACGTTCCCTGGTACCTACAGTATGTTCTGTATGTACTTAAGTTCCCTGGTACCTACAGTATGTTCCCTATTTACCTATGTTCCCTGGTACCTACAGTATGTTCCCTATTTACCTATGTTCCCTGCCCATGTTCTCCCAGATTAAAAATAAAGTCATGAAAGATGCTTGGCTTCCCTTTCAAATGTCTTTTAAAGCTTATTTAAAAAATGACTGAATAATAGCGCAGGAATTGTACTGGGAAACATAGAGATGACCCCTCATAATATCAGGATTTCCCAGCTGATTTTTAAAGTATTTCTGTTATTGCACAAGGAAAGTAGCAAAGATTTAGGACTTTTCTGCTCAAAATCATGGTTACCATAGTTTTTGGTACCGCTCAGAAAAGTGTGTTGGTCATTTCCTTCAAGGGACCCACAAATTAGATGTTTATTCATCCTATTTTGACAAAATTCAAATATCATAAAATTAAACCAATGCACTATAGTTGCGTATACCTCAACACATTACTTGTGACTTCTTCTTTGGTGCGATGAAACAAGTCACATACTTACTTCTAAATGTCCGCTTCAAAAATTCCACACATATCCAATTCACCTTACTTGTTTACCTACACAGACTACGGCCAACCTAATGTAGGTCAGTCAAGTGATTCAACCTTTTGCCCAGTTTTCATCAGATTTAGTGGAGTGCTTTGTTTACATTGAACACTTACCCGCATTTCAAAACTGAGTGAAAAACTACCAGATTAAGCTCGTATAAATTGCAGCCCATTGATGCATTTCAGGTAAAGCTTTTTATGTCTCATTTCATAGTTTCCAGTAAGTACTTTTACAAATATTTTTATAACTGAGACTTTGAATGTGTTTTAGATACATTTTATCAGAGGTGTATCGTAACTAGGTACATTTACTTTGTTACAGTACTTGTTTTTTGAGGATTTGTAGTTTTCCCAAGTATTTTTGAACCACAACTTTTACTTTTATTTTGTTACATTAAAACATAAAAATGATACTTTTACTTCTTTACTTTAAAATTTAACACCTAGTTACACGTTACAAATTTAAATATGACCGAACTCTTCATGATAAAAAATGAAGTGTTGAATTTATTTAAGTTTTGTCAACTGGTTCCAGTAAACCGAACAGAGTAAATGTAATGCAATTGGTTAAATTCCACATTTCATTTCTTAGCTTGAGTAAAAAGTAATTTTACTTTCCTTATTATTGTGTGCGGTTTTACAACTTTTACTTAAGAACTTTTTTCTTATCAGTGAGGTAAAATTTTACCAGGCATTTTTAAATGTGTTTTTACTTTTACTTATTTATTTTAAGTACCTTCGTTTTGAATAAATCACATCTATTTTTACTTTTTATAAAAAATAGATTCTGGTCCATTTAAATTATTTCTAACCACGTTGGGATCTCAGAGCGTTTTTGTAGCCAACCACAGACATTCAGATATTCTACAAAGAACCCCAGCAGTTCCTTTTGTGCAAACATTTGGGGTCATTTGGTGAGAAACTCCCATTTATAGAAAAAAAGAAAAGAAAATGTCCGTCAGAACCAGACTCAGTGTGAACATCTGCCTCAAGATGTCGAGGTGAGAGGGGTGAGAGGGGTGGGGGTGGGAGGGGGGCACTAAAAGGTTGTGGGTGTACGCCTAACAACAAAGAGCCGCTACGATGCAGCTGTGAACTGTCAGTATTAGCAGTTTGAGTTGTGTTTTTAGTAAAAACACAGGGAGGTGCTACAGTTAGACCAGAAGGCGGCAGATTATCGGCTCCGGGGTTAATTATTGTTATTATTATTGTCTGTAAGTCGGCTCACGCTGACACTTTAATCCGTGGGTGAAAGGGAATATTCCCACAGAATGATACAGTTCTGCGCAGGTATCAAGTAAAGTCATTTATACAAATCCCTGTTTTAATCTACAACCTGGAACTGCCAGGAGCTGGCCTCATTAACCCACAGACAGCCAGCTTACTGAGGCAAATCACAATCCTGCAGCTTGATGTGCAGTAAGCACCAAATAATGGATTTTTAAAGTGAAATGAAAAACGATGAGAGAAAACTAATCAAATGAAAGCAATTAGAAAGGAAAGACTCTGGGCTGTGTTTTAACGTTCCAGCAAGAAAAATGGCCTCTCAGCAGGCTTTCGCGCACAGTTGCACTCATGCTACCCGAACATTTTTAACCTCTAACGTCCTGCTGGTTTCTTAAGGGGGAAGGTAGTGAAGGAACCACACGTCATGATCAGTCTACCCAAACGGAGGACTTTGGTTTTTAATAATCTGCTTCATCTGCATCAGAAGCAGATTTTTGTTGCTTGAAATCTGTATCAAATCATTTGCATTATTTTTTTATTCCAGTATTCATCAATACCAGCATGTACTGAGGATAACAGGAGCTTTACATGTATAAAAGAGGAGGAGCACAGAATTTCTCCAGCCCAAAAATGAAGAATAGCAAATAAACACTGCAGACACAGTCCTTATTCTTAAGAATCCAGCTTTTCCTGTTGATTGAGAGCCACTCATTTAATCTTTCTGGGTTATTTGTTTTTGTTATTCAGTACCAGGAAATTCTACTCCCCTTTTCCCACTTATTTCTGCATCCAGCCACAGTGCAGGTTTGGACCATTTTTGTTTACTTTTGTGAAGAAGTGAGTAATACTACAAAAACCTGGTGCAATTTGTCCTTTTTCCATTGAAGAACATCTCTTTATGTAGTTTTTGCTTTGAGACATCATTGCAGCTGATTGGCTCCACTCCTGTCCTCCAGTGAACCATTTGTCTTTCTGACACAGTTGGTCACAAATTCCAGGGGCCTTCCGTTTCTTTAAACGGACATTGTACGGCAACAAACACAAAAAATCAAGCTCAGACAATTGCTCAGCAAGCAGCAATAAAAAGCCTGCAGGATGCAATGTCATCACATTCCTCTGTTATCTTGATTTGCAGGCTTCTGATGTTCCTAACGGAACATAACTGAGGACACAGCCCTAAAAACATGGTGCCGCTGTTTGCAATTAGTTAATTTGACTTTTTTTTTGTGAGTATGTACAATGTTAAAAATCTCGTTTATGCAGGTGTTTCTCTCAACATGATGGCCGTTCTTTGTTTTGACGTGAATCAATGAATGATATTTTATTTTAGACAGGCGTGTGCAATTTAAAATCATGTTCACACAGTGGATTTTACCATAAGTGAATTTCAAAAACAATCATAAGAAAATGTGTGGCACTTGGAAGAAAGTCAGATTGTTTAGAATTAAAAAACAAAACAAAATAACCAGTAAATTTGCAACTGATTACATTTGAAAGAGGTATAATCTTTATTTTGTAGCCAAACAGAATCGGATGAAGCAGTCGTACTGAAACAGTTGATCTTTATTGGCGGGAGGATCGTGTATTTTGGTTCCTCTTAAACAGAGGAACCTGAGAGGCTTTGTGGGAAGGTTGGTAAATAAACGTGCATGTGTGTACAATCATCTGATTATCAACTTATCAGTGATGGTGAATTCTTGTGATTAATGGGTCGTCAGCAGGACTGGAGCGTCACATGGGGTCTCTAGTTTCCCATTTGTACACCTCAGACCTCCAGTCATGTGCAGAATTAGTTCCTGTTTGCTCTAAAATTATGCTTAAAAATCATCAGTCAAACTAACTTTTTAATTGTAACGTCCCACCCTGCGTTATCGCTTTCTAGTGCCGACTTTGCTGCTCGTAATGAACAGATTGAGTGCATCGTGGATTTTCATCTGACTAAGTTTGTTTCCAGCATTCCACTGGAGGAGAGTTTGCTTGTAAAGAGTCAAGGTTAGCGTTAGCTGCTCCACGCTTCCTTCCGCCATTGGTCTCACGTGCACACCTGATAGTGAAAGTGTGTCGCACACAAAAATATATCATCATCACAAATAATCGCAGTCATTGCAAAACAACGATTTTCTGACGATTAATTGCACACGATATGGTTTTCCCTGACTATATTCTACAGACTAAATCAACTATACTTTGATAAAAAGTTATATTTTTTTGTTGAGAAATGCTTCAATTACTCACTTTTTTTTCTATAAGTTGTTGCATATCTCCCATCATCGTTTTGATAAAAGGTTTGTTTTCTTTGCAATCATTTGCTGACAGAAGTCTCTGTGACTCCCCCAACGAAGTGCACAGTAAAACAAAGGCTTGCTTTATGTTTGGTTTGTGCAGTGAAAATGTTGCATCAGTTTTTCAGTATAAGAAACTAAACCCTCCACACTCACTAATAAAAAACTTCACAGATCAGGTTTGTTTATCCTCTTAGACTGGAGGTGTGTGAACCTCTGTGCTAACGAGGCCTCCTTGAATTCAGGTGTTCCAATTAGGGAGATGAGATCGGGGCCCCTCCCTATAAAAAAAGACAAATGAAGCTTGGCTGTTCTTCCAGATAGTTTGATGGGAGCCATGCCTCCAGCCTTGCATCTATCAGAGGACATTAGGAAGAAGGTTGTGGCTCTGCACTACTCCGGGAAGGGCTACAAGAGCATCTCCAAAGAAACGGGTGTTCATCGGTCCACAGTTCGAAAAATCATCTACAAATGGTGGAAGCATGGGACGGTTGGGACGCTCCCGAGGAAGGGGTGCCCTCTGAAGAACACAGCAAGGACACCATGTGATGTCCTAAATGAGGTGCAACAAAACCCTGAGACCAGGTTTATGATTTGTCTCAATACAGGAAATACAGGGAAATGAATAATAATTAAAAAAAAAACAGACAAAAGACAAAAAAAAGTTTTTCTGTGTGTGCATCTGTCTGATCTGCAACAATCTGTTGGAAATAAATTATAGATTCTTTTGACAAGCTGTTTAGTTGTGCTCGTTTGTGTTGGTTTTTACAGAGAGGAGGAGCAGGAGCAGGAGGAGGCATCTGGGCCGAGGAGAATGAAGGAGGGAAAGCGAAAGGAGAGCCATCGAGAGATTTTGCCAAGGTTTGTTGATCCGATGGATGAAAACATGGAAAAAAAACCCTCAACCCATCACCCAGCTGACTGGTTTCCTCTGGATGTTTGTGTTTCTCCTGCAGCTCTATGAACTGGACAGTGACCCCCAACGAAAGGAGTTTCTTGATGAACTCTTTGTCTTCATGCAGAAACGAGGTATGATTTGGCTTTTTAACCAACTTTCTATTTTTAGTAAGGTATTGATTTACTTATATACGTTGTGACAATATTTTTTATCTCAGCATATTTTAACAAAAAAAGTATTTGCAGATAAAAATTAATCGGCTGGTATTTAAACTAAACAAGTAAAACCTCACAGCTGTTTCAGATCTTTTGTACTGTTTTGTATTGGCTGAAGAATCATGTCAGCAAAAAAGAAAAAAAATACAGTATATATATTTTTAAACTGAAGCCAAAGAGGATTCATTACTAAAATATTTGAAAGTATTTGTCTTTATTTTTAGGTTTGAAATGTGTAAAAGTTGTTTCTTTGAAAACTGGAGACTCATTGAAACTTTCTTTAGGGTTGAAGCTTTTACAGGTTTGGATTTAGTTGTTTGTTTTGTTTTTTGTCATCGCTAAGTAAAGACGGGTGATGATGTTTTTTGTGTCGGTCTGTTAGCAAAACATCTCATGAACCACTCGATGTTTTGTAATAAAACTCTCAGAAAATAATAATTGGACGTACACCAACAACTAATTAACTTGACTCAATTAAAGATGGCCGCCACAGCTATTCACAGTGAGCTAACATAACAAGAGTCTTTCTCAGTGAATTCCTTATTGAGTTCAAATTTGGCATGGTAGAAGCCGAGTCATTCACAAAACATAGTGCTAACTGACTTTAAACAACAAACATGTTGTTTTTGTGAGAATACGCATTTTATTTTTTATTGACTATAAGACCTTTATTTCTCATCATAGGATGATTTTAGTATCAAACTGTGCCATGAGATGTGCATTTCTTCTAACGTTTTTTTCATTTTGCATTCTGAATCATATTTCATATTTTAAAATGATATATTTACTAAAATTAAAGACCTATAATGTTTTGGGTAATTATTTTTGCTGTTAATTTTTGTCTTTAAAATGTGCCTGAAAACTTAAGCGTTAACAGTTTTATTTAATTCCAGCCTCTTGACATCTCTAAGTGTTTGATTACAAAAACACACACATTTAATTTCAAGCGAGGGTATACAGCCGAATGTCTATTTGTGTGGCTAAAGTTCATCCCCTCGTGTGTGTTTGTGTGTGTGTGTGTGTGTGTGTGTGTGTGTGTGTGTGTGTGTGTGTGTGTGTGTGTGT